GCTGGCAAAGTGGTTTTCTCAGTCAAGGCCACCCAGAACCAATCTGTATAGCAGTACTGTCCTACCAAAGCAGAAAAGCAGTTTATAGGAGATAATAAAGAGATTCTAAACACTGTTTAGATCAGTATATGACACTGTTTATATGCTATTTCCACTCTAATATTGTTTTATGAAAAGCTCTACAAAAGCTCTTAAGATTGGGCTGCAGATTTTTTTTCTGTGTCCATCTGCACAAGCTGACTTTATAGCTATATATTTCTTCCTTTTTATCTAATGTCCTGTAGAGGTCTTAACTGTGATTGCAGAGAGAAACTAGAAGCATATTATAAGTGGTAAGAGGATATTTAATATAGATTGTTTTTTATTTTTACTATGATATGTGTACCAGTATTACAATTAGGGTGACAATCTAATTTACCAAGCAGTATATTGAAGTACTTTTTTTAGGGTTCCATCCCATCATGGTACAGCTGCACCTTCATTTCCCCTTATTTTAACTATTTCATCTCATTTACTGAAAATTCATCTCTATTTTTGCTGATGACTTCTTGATCAAGAAATTTTGTGTTTGGTAAATTTTTCCTCTAGTAAGGTTTAGTGGAAAAACAGCCTGCTTTTTGATTTGGAATATACAGTTTCTGTGGGGAAGGAATGGCTCCTTCATAGGTATTTGTTGTGATAGGACATTATTCCTTGTCAGCTTCTGTTACAGGTATCATTTCATCAGTCTAAGAGTAATTTTATATGGCTACTGATAGTGATGGCTAGAGTGTCAAGAGCCAAAAGGTAAATGGGTTGAAACTCTGAGGTTTTCCTAGGTTTTTTTATTTAAACACATGATGTGATATTGCAAATCACCTGCTGAAATGTGTAGTAGATTTTTCATGTCTCTTTTTAGTAAAATTACAATGTACTTGATTAATGACAGTCAGATTAAAAGTAAATTTTATTTTTAATAGACCTTATTCTTTTTAAGAATTTAAGAAGACCTTATTCTTTCTCTCTCGTACCCTACCTTAGGAGAAGGGAGGTGAGGGACCAGTGGGAAACAGCAATTTTCTTCCACTTTCCCCCAAGTAGTACATTACAGAGCTGCCTTATTTTTTTGTTTAAGGACTATACTGAAAAATTCAGATCTTTTATGGCTGAATTGTAATTTACTGTTTTACAAAGCCCAAAAGTAAGGTCAGTCTAATTATGTTTCTGAGCCAAATTTAATGCAGATCCTCTCTTTAAAACATTTAAAAACGCTTTTCATGTCAAAATCATCAAATGTAACCCACATACAAGATGAAATGCTTGTGAAAGGCAATAAAATTTACCCAAAGGATTTAACTTAGGTTCCTCTTAATGGAAGAAAGCGTGCAAAAAACCAAAGGGGGAAAAAAAGGGTTAGGGTTAGGGTTAGGGTTAGGGTTTTAATCTATGTTTTTGTCTTCATGTTTTCTTGTTTTTGTGAATGTGCCCAGGGTAGTTAATGTTTTTGCAATTATGCCTACCAGTTGGAGGTGTACTTGACTGAAGCGACCCAAATTTTTTATGAGTAATTCTGATAATTATCCTGCACTTTGAAAATAAGGCCTGAACTATAATTATTTAAGGGAGAGATATTTCAAGACGTATTGTGTTAGAACGAGGCAGATCCATTGCATGGATTAGTTGTCTACCCTGGGCACTGTGTCCTTTAAGATAACTAGCATAGGTCTGCCTGTTGGTATGTATGAAGGAGATAAGTGCTTAACAGAAGACAGACAAGGTGTTTACACTTTTCCAAGTAATCCAGCCTTTGAGTTGAAGTGGACTCTTCACTTAGGAGGAGCCCACTTCAACTGAACACCCGAAGTATTGCTTAGGTCTCTTTGAGGATGCCCGACTCTACAAAGGCTTCAAAAGAATGAGTTGATATGCTGCACCTATAGAAACAATTTAAGTAAATCTAAGTAAGTTTTTGTGCCAATTATGTTAATGACGTTGCAAATGGACTGCAAATTTAGAAGCCCTCTAAAATTCAGCGCTGGCCCTGCCATTAAATCAGGCTCTTTAATCTCTCTAATTGGTGCTTTTCAGTACTGAAGAATACATGAACCCTGCTGTGTTCTAAAAGCAGTAGAACATCTTCACTAGCCAATAATAGCCAGTGAAAATACACTTTTCAGACTGCAAGTCTCCTGTACTAATAATGATGTGGGAAAGTTTCATTTTACTGCTACTTGTCAGTGCAGCTTTACTGTTGAACAGTGCTTGGCTGCAGCTGTGCTGGAAATGGATCAGCTCTGCCCTGCATCACTGTAAGGTCCCTTTCTCAGGGTAAATATCCTGTCCATGGGATGAAACTTAGGAGTAGCCACAGGAAGCTATCCTGCTGAGAGAACAGGAGGTTCAGTACCAGAATTCTTCCCAGGAACCATCAAGCTTCTCCTCACAGAATGAGACTTTTACAGACTGATGGCTGGTTATTTAAACTCAGGTAGCAACACTTAGAAAGCCTAGAGGATAACTTGAACATGCTTAAACTTAGACTAGCAACTTCCCCTCACAGAAATACAACTCTAATGGATGCTAGTTCTTAAACCAATGTAGACCAGCTCATTGGCTGCAGTAACTCTGTATGGGTTCACTAAAATGCATGAAGTTTTTTAGCAGCTGAGGAGCTACTATTCACTTAGTATTTCATTTACAGAAAACCTATAAGGTTGCTACTTTCTACACACTTTATCTCAATTGCACATTCAACTGCTATATGCATTCTCTCCACAGTCTGACTTCTGCAGTGGCAATGTGTATACATCAGGGTGACATCTTCCATCCTTTCGCCTTGGAAGGAAAAGCGTTTAAGATTCAGTGAGTTCAAGCCTTATCTCATCTCTGATAATTTCTACACTAAGCTTTTGGCTGAAGTTCTGAAAAGCTCTTCTACTTAATTTTTTTCCAGGTTATTTACATTTTTCTACAAAATTTTATTACTCATGGCTGTTAGTTTTCTAGAACAAGTTTAGAGTGTGTCATCATTATGATTTGTATAAGAATCCCAAAACAATATAATAGGGTTTCAAATAAATAATTCTGCAGTAAACATTCATCCTCACTACTGGCAGAAGTAAAAAAGCCACTCAGTAAGAGAAGAGAATGCAAAGCCGGTGAGTCCACTAGAGGAAGGCTCTGCACTTCTGTGTCTGTCGCATCCCAAACAGAATCTCAGTCATGGAATATCCGAAGAGATTTACTCCATATGGTATGTCATTTATGTAAGCTGATTTTATACAATATTCTCTTTGGGAGTAAACATTTCTGTGTCTTGCTTCTTAAAAATATTTCAACAAAGCCTTTGCTGTAGTCTGTATATCTAGCTGGCCAGAAGGAACACACTTTTTCTGTGACTCATTTTTTATTTTTTTGGGGGAAGCTAAAAGGTCAGTAGTTTCCAAGGATCTTTTCAGAGGGGCTGATTTCTTGGTGTGAATTTTTATTATCATAGTTGACATGTGTCACTTTTCTAGATTGTAGTATATACAAGGTTAAATTCATCAGAATATGCAGGAGGATGACAAATGGCATAGGACTGTACTTCAGGTACAAATATTGCAGCGATGTTAGCTTTTTCCTGAATTAACATGCATATGATCACACCTACACATGTGCACATAAACACCACCATTTCACCTTCAAGATAATTCCTCTTTCCTAACTAATACAGCTGAAGCCAATCTTCTATCTAATAAGAAATTTTGATAAATGGGGGAGATTTAACATTTTAATTCGTGTAGAAGTCTAAATATGCCAGTCAAATTCTCTTTATTTTCTTCAGGCATGCATTTTCTGAAGGTTATTTTTTGTTGTTGTTATCTTAGCAGGAATTTTGTTAATGTTATTTTTAATTGTGTTATCTACTCATAAAAGAGAGCAAAGTCATTTAGTGCTATGTAGTAATCTCTTGGCTTTTTAAAAACAGATTATGATGGTTACACGCAAATGGGGGCAGCAATAACAGAGAGAGAGAAACCTTGCTGAAATGATTCTAAGGTGTTCAAAACCAGCTGTAGGCTAATGCTTTTTAATAAAGTTCTCAAATACAGTGGTATTGGAGTGTGCAAAAGGCTGTTCTGCTGGTAACATTAAAGAGATCTTCCAATATTTCTGCGTTTACTGAGAATACTTTGCAGTAATATACTATTGAAGTATGCTTGTGGGAAAAATGCTATTCATGGTTTTCTGATGTGTGTATATAGTTTATTGTTGTTTCTGTGTAGATATAGAGGAGTCACATGTGGATTTCCCACTTACCCACAACCCTGTTGCTTTGAGTGTCGGTAATGTTGATTTGTAGTGTAGGTAATGTTTTGTTCTAGAAGTCTGAGGCACACTTTCTTAAATGTTTTAACATCAGCTTGTCTTTCCTGTGAATTATTTCAAATGCCTGTCTCTGTTGGATCCTTCAGGAATTATTTTGAAAAATGTATTTTGATTATGATTCCTTTTCTCTCTGACACTTTGGTTTAAACTATTCATTGCATGAAGAATTTCACAAACTATTTAAGGAAAATAGTATGTATAAATTAATCTTTAAAAAGCCACAAAATATTTTTTTGTAAAGTGGTTTTTTATTATGCATTGTCAACAGTTAAATGATATGTTACTGTTTCATACAGGATGGAATAGAAGAATAGTGTTAAGTGAGAAAATGTTAGTCCATAAGCATAGGTTTTAAGGAAAAAAGTGCTAGATCTGCATAAGTTTGTACAGTTTTAAGTATGACACTGGAGAGCTGCTCCAGCTAAAATGACTTTGAACTAATTACTGCAACAACCGCTTGTCTTCATTGCCCAGTGTCCCCAAACCCTGTTTCAGTTCTGTTTAGGGTGTTTGGTTTTTTCCAGTGTTAAAATTTACACACTTTCTTCTCCTGTTACTCAATATAACTTAGTAGCAGCTCTAGGAATATAACTAAACCGTGCTATTCACCAGCCAGCTGTGGTTACTATTCAATAATGATCCATTTCAAACTAAGTATTACATAATACTGCAAAAACAGAAACAAAAAAGATTAACTTCCAAAAATCTCAACCAAACCCCAGATTTTCTAGCATGAGCTAACACAACCAGTGTACATAATATGTCATGGAACAACAGCTCAGTTAGCGTAATAACATTAGAAGAAACAATAAAAGTATTTTTCTTCCTTTGTGCACACCGGGTGCTTCACATCTGAAGTTGTTACAAATAATAAATATTAAAATGGATTATATTTCTCCAGGACAATGTAGTAAAATATTTCTTGCAATGTTCAGAGACATAGAAAAACAAGGGGTGTTTTATAATTACAGATGGAAAAAAAATTACATATTCTTTGTCTTAAATACAAACTAACTGAATAAAGTCTAGGTATTATCTATGGATATTAAATTCTTCATGAAAGACTAAAATAAGTAGACTGAAGAAATACCTATTTATGACATATGACATACTTTGTAATGAGTGACAGACATAGCTGACCACTTGGATGTTTTATTAATTTTCATCATAAAATCTATTTTTTTAAAATGTCTTCATTTGCAGTAAGCCATTTGAACTTGACTTTCTTGCCTTGGAATGATGAAACTGCTGTATGTCTTGAGCTGAGTAAATCTAAGCTTGTATTTATGTCAGTCTTTGCCAATTGGATTATTTCACTTTCTTGACAAGCATTAATATAATTCAGTTCTGTATCATAATTTCCATGTGCTTTTGAATATGAACTGCAGGATTTTTTACTTGCATCTGCAGAGTTTATTACACCACAGTTTAAAACCAGGTTGTCTCTTTTAAGAAAAGATGTCTTCAGAGTGTCAGATAAAATAGTGTTTAGCTTTTTGTCCTTTTTGTCATATTCTGATTCTTCTCCAGTGCATGACAACTCAGTATCAACAGACAATGTTGTGTTAGTTGCCTTCTTCCAACTGAATGTGCTGCTAGTACAAGACTTCTGACACGTGGCATCGTTATTAAATTCAGCAAGACTCTTAAAAGTAACAGCATCTTCATCTTTTGAGTTCTGTTCACCCTGTGCAAGCACAGTATCACTAGAATAGCTCTCATGAGGTTCATACATCTCATATATTTCTTCATTTCCAGACTGACTGTCCAGCTTTGCGAAGGCATGCTGTGATTCAGTGCAAATAGGATGGCTTAATGCTGTCTTTGGGGTAGACACACCTGAGAGAGTTGTTTTCTGTGTACAAATATTTTGATGTGAAAAAGTGGCATAATTATTATTATTGCTGTTATTCAAGTTGCATTCTTTGTGATTCTTTTGTACTGTAACATCATCAATGTTAGTAACCTGTATCACTTCTGAATTATCAGTTTCATTAATTTGTTTCTCTTGCTTCTTCCCAGTGCTATCCACAATTACATTATCACCCTCATTAATATCCTTTCCACTTTGCTCCCTATTCTCTGATGCTTCCAGTTTATTCACCTTATCTTTCACATTCCCAGATTCCTCATCCTTGCCATTATTGCCTGCTTTAGAGGTATTTGTACATTGTTTTTCAGACAGAGTGGATGACTGTTGATTTTGTTGTGAATTTGTGATGTTTTTCTTATTTTGCTCCATCACTGTGGGATTTTTCTGAGATTCCTTTTTGTTGCCCAGAGGTTTATTTGTATATGGACTAGGATCTTCTTGAGCAAAACCTTCTGGGGGCCACTTTGACTTATTTACTTTAGCTGATTCTTCAATAGAGAATGTTTTCTTAGGTGTTGCATCATCTGTTGAAGGAGGCCATGTCATTTTTAATTTACCTCTTTCTGTGGTTTTCAAATTGTTGTCCAAAATATCAGGACGAGCACCTTCAGTACCTGAGTACAAGCCTTTATCAGCTTCTGTAATTGGTTTAGGATCAACAGGTATGCTATTAATGGGATTTGTTTCTTCAGCTTGAGTTTTGTTAATTGAACTAAGTTGATCTTTATAATTCCATAATTCCTTATGCTGCTTGTGTCCAAAACCTTCATCATAATTTCCTTTTGATTTGAAAAGTTGCTTAAAATGGGGTTTACAGTATATTTTTCCATGGAGAGATGCATAATTTCCCAAGCTGCCAAATGGAAGAAAATTTGTTTTATTCTTTTACATACCATAAATTACCATACACCTCGCCCTTTCTCCCCCCTCCCCCCCCCCCCCCCCCCCCCCAAAAAAAAAAGTATCTAAAACCTTTACTTGTGAATTTGCATACAATTTCAAAGTAAAAATGAAGAAGAATCATGCTTGGTGATTTAAGAAAGAACATAAACTCATTTGGTTGTTGCACAGAATAAACTTCAAATAGAAATGTTCACAGCACTTCTGGGCTTTTTGGACCATTTTTCTTCATCTTGTTAAAGTCCAAATCCTCATTTTTACAAAGTAGCATCAGAATTTAGTCTTTGTGCAAAATATAGAAATTTGTGTTTCATTTATATTTGGATTCTCCTCCCAAATGAACTAAAGGAAATGTGTGTAACTACCCAGAGTGTCTTAATATCAAAGTTGTTGGTCTTTGCAGTCAGATAGAGCAATAAATTCTACATTTTATATGAAGGCTACAGAGTGATTTGCTAATGCAGATAACCATCATAATTCATTTTATGAATGAGGAAAATTGAAGAGAAAATTTGGTGGTTTTTAGATATTTTAAATTCCACCTGAATTCCTGTGTCCACTGCCTCTGTCCTGAAGGTCTGCAACAGTCTGTAGGAAGCAATATGTGGAAGAATTTGGAAGGTACTGGGACAAAACAGTTCTATAAGAAATTTAAAGGACTCATTCCATGTCACAGTGCAGATGTTAGGAGCAGAGAAAAAAGGAGAACTCAGGATACCACCGTGTCAACCCAGCATCCTACAGGCTGAATAATCCTACAGTTGAAAATAATTTTACCATCTGTATTTATATTCCAAAGCAGGGTTGTGTGGGTGATGCAGTTACTTCTTACCTTAATTGACTGCCACAGTGGTGACATCGGAAACAGGATTTGTGAAAATTCTGCTTATCAGCAATGAGACATTCCATGGGGTAAACTCTCTGTTGACAGAGTTTGCATGTTTCATTTTCCTGAATCTGCAGTTTCTACAACCACACATTAAAAGGTTACAAATTAGTCTAAGCCACATGGTATGATTTTATTTGAACAGTATCAGTCCATATATTTTGTTACAACATTTCCATTTTCTGTTAACTGGTATCTCAGTTGTTTATTGTAGGGCTTCCTTTTTGTTCAACTAACAGTAATACTTGGAAATTTAAAAACTACTTACCTTTCCCTTTGCAGGAATCCATGCATTTGAAAGGACTTCTCCAGGTACAATATCTTCCATTTATTTGTAATAACTAATTATTGTGTGAAATGTGGAAGAATAATAGAAGGTTTTCTAGTGTAAGTGGAATTGACTGTAATGTATGTATAATCTTTGAATGTACAATGTGATTTAAAGATCAATAAGTAGGGGGATGGATGTTTGAAATTCTGATGAGGACTTTTTGCTTAGCCATGCCAAGTGCACAATAGGGGTTACTCCTTTTGTGGTAACCTCCAGACTTGTGCACTCACATGGTCCAAATATGCTATGGGCATAATTATTTGTGATTTTTACAATTGTAGTTGTCAGACCTGATACTTTTTTCAGTTGAATTTTAATACTAAGGTAGCTACATTTATATTAAAAGCTTTATAAAGTCTTCTGTGAAGCATATTTAATTATAAAGAAAACTATTTCTCTATAAAGTACAAAACATGAATAGAAAGTTGCATACCAGTAAAGGGCACACATACCAGAAAGGGGCAGTCCATAGGCACAGACTGCTTGTGAGCCAAGCACCAGGACTCAGCTGAATATTCTTAGGTATTCTCAATGTAGAGAGGGAGAAGAGGAAGGAGATAAGGTAATTAGGAGGGGGAAAATGGTGACATGGATCCTGGAAAAGGGTCTTACTGAATGGTTACTTCGCTTAGTTGGATAGTTGACAGTGAGTTGATAGTGATATTTGCATCATAGAATATATGTGAAAAGAAATGTGGAATTCATACAAAACAATGATTGAGCAGTCTTGGAGATTTTGCTGCAACAAATGCAGACTTTGCATTATAAGCATAACAAACTTTAACTGTAGCTTGTGTTCATTTGACTTTCTTTTGGAAGTGGTATTTTCCAGGCTTCTGAGAGTCTGTGGTGACAAATTATATGTATTTACAGATTCAAAACAAGGAAAGAGGAGACTATTCATCAGAGGAGGAGAGAATGCAGAAGTTTTTACCTTGAATTTTTTTTGTCACATACTGTAACTACTTATGGAACTTTCTAATGTATTTCATATTATGTTATGTGCACTTAATTCCTGAAGTCTATATATTCCCACCTCTTCCATAAGGTACATTTTTAATCATAATTATTCAAAATAGAAAATCAGATAGCATGACAGACCAGTGTCTTAACTTCTTATTTGCATAAGGAAAGATTGCTCTTATTAAAAATACAGACCTTTACTTCTTTAGCAGATGTTGTGATCTCTCTGTCAGAGTGAACAGCCTTTTCCTGAGCCGCCTTCTCAATCTGCTGTTTTAAAATTTGTGTTACAGTCTTTGGGAGCTCTTCATTCTGAGCTGAATTGATTACTGCAATGGGAAGAAGAATAAAAAAGATTGTTTTTTCTCCAACCTGCATTTTATGAAATTGACTTTATCAGTGAATTATGAAACATTAATATCTTGGAAAAATTGTGTTTAGCCTTGTAGAAGTCTAGAGAGTCACTTGATCAGTACAGAAATCCGTATGGAAAATGTCAGAATAGTTGTTAAGGGACATGATATAAACTACTGTTTTGCTGTACCTGAGTGGTGTGGCAGGGACAAAGGGTGACTGAGGTCTGTGGGAGAATGTCATGCATGAATTCTTGTTCAAGAGCTAAACTGCAGCAGCAGCAGTGTCTTAACACTGTGATCTTCTCTGTGATATTCTGCAGGGTTACTCAGGTCAGCTACAAACTGAGCCTTACCCATCCACAGCTTTGTATGTACATGGACTGCTGTTTACTTGTGTTTTCAGACAAGTTGTCAAGTCCCCCATTCCTTCAAGCAACTCAGACCATACTTAAAACCACATCCTTATGCAAACATAATCTCTTCATACTGAATTCTAACTCATTTCTGATGCCCCATTGAAGTTAAGGAATGAGCTTTGCTCAGAATTCGGAGCAGTGTGTGTTTTCATATTTATATGCTAAGAACAGTACACCTGTGGGAGGAAAGACATTTGCCATTGCTCATTTGTGAGTGTTTATTCTCATGCCACTTCTTACCTGTGTCATGCTGAGTGAATGTAGAAGCCATTTTCATTTCATTAATAACTTGCTCATGAGGAGAAACCTGTGAAAAAATTTCACTTTACTCATGATCTAGTGCAATGCATAAGAATTATACATACTTCTGAAACCGTATTCAAAATATTGCATAAATGAAAAATATGAATATAAATATAAACATTATTAACTTAACAATAATGCATTAAAAACATGTAGTGAAACACCTTTAAAAATTATTATGCACTGAGTAATGAGAGAAGTTCTCAGCAGAAAATCCAGATCTTGCTCTACCAAGAGGTAAAGGAGGAAGAAGCAAAGCAGGTATGTGTCAGTATCAGTGTAATTGTCCAATGAGATTATTATTATATGACATAATTACCTCTTGTGTTTGAGAGGCTTCTGTTTGATTTTCTTTGGAGGTCTTTTCATTGCACTCAGCTTCCCTGGTGCTACTTGATACTGTGTGGTGCCTGCTACTTGGTGTTTCCTCAAGACAAACAAAAAAAATCACATTAACAGGTAATAGTAAATCAGATTTTTTTTTTTTTGCCTGAAGGGGTGTCAGAAATTAATTCTAATGTAAATGGTGTAGCTAGAGCAGCCATTTTACAGCAGAGTGCCATTGTTATTACCTTTGATATTTATTGCTGTCAGCATTGGAACTGGCTTTTTTATAATGCAGAAGATGTCAAGTCTTTGTTACTGCAGCAAGATGCTGGCCAGCAGATATGGCAAGGTGCATGAATAGATAAAATGCATAATTGGACTAGGAGGGGGCAGAGGTGACAAGGAGGACTTGTGCTGGCTTTATGTGCTGTGCCTCCAACGTGTTGCCTGGCAGTGGACATTATGCTAATGCAACTTTTTTAAAGGAAGTGTAATATGTCTGCATGAGGTGATTACTCCCTGCATATGCTTTATAAAGTTCTTCCAATACAAAAATCATGCTGAATTGCAATTGTGAAAAATACTGGTTACCATAGAGTAACCAAAAGATCCTGTAATATATACAGGGTAGCACTGTAACTGCAAGCCTGACAACTGCAGTGTAATAAACAGAGTGTATCTTCACCAGCACTGTCCAAGATGTCTGTGTAAACTGATTTCTGAGTCAGTGTTTGGTTTGGCTTCAGATTCTGACAGTGATTTGTTTTCTTATTTGAAGCCTGCCATAGAACCTGTGTTACATCATTACCAGTGTCTATGGGGTACTTTGAAACTTAGTGATTAGAATAAATAAATCTGAAAGATTGATATTATTAAGCAGTTCTGGGCATCCTCTCCCATGCACACAGAGCCATCTAACAAATAATTTCACTCATGTCAAATTATATTTTCTTCTTCATTTGTTAGAAAGAAGCTTGTCTATTAGTTTCTACTGATAATAAGCTTTCAAATGAAAGGAGCTTCTGGTCCCTCCAGCAAGAGCTTCCCAAATGTTCAATGTAACTTGAACATGAATGGAGCAGTACTGTGTTTCTGAGATTGCTGGTGTACATCTAGTGCAGCATAGAGATGTAAGCTTCCTGCACCTCAAGTGCTGATTACTACTTGAAATTCAGTTAATTGTGGGGCAAGAAATTACTTCTTTCTCTTAGTCATGCCATGAGAAAGCATATATTTATGGGATTTATTCCGCCTTCAAACTAAGGGATGCTTACACAGCTTGCATCTCCATGAATACTTCTGCTGAATCAGTACAGGGGTCATCTAGTTCCTGGCCTGTAATTTCTGTCATGCAGTAGGCAGCAAGGTTCTTCAATCTATGGCAGAGAAACAATGAGCATTCTCTCCATGGGCTATAGGAATTCTTTTCCACTTCCATGCTGCCAAATCCTGTTTCAGCTATAAGATGAATTAATATTGTACAAACAAAGGGTAGAATAAATTTTCTTATTGCTGGCCCAGTAAATGATTCAGTGCATTACCAGTATCAAAAGCAATCCTGTCTGAAGTGTTGGAGTGCAATGAGGCTTGAGGAGAGCAGGTCACAGCATGTCCTGCTTTTACAGGATGACCTGTTGTACAGGACATCCTGTAAAAACCTGTTGTGTAAAGGTTCTGTGTACATAACAGCTGTGAGGGAGCTGCACACCATAGGAGGAGATAGTGGTAGAGCTAACCACCTATCAGGTTGAAAAGAGGCAGTTCAGAAAGAAGTGCAAATTTTCCCATCTATTCTGTTTAATGACTGTGTAGGTGTATGTCTAATATGCCTTTTCATTCTATATGGATATGCTTTTTAATATATTTATGCATATATATGCTTTTTCATTTAAGATATGCTTTTCTGTTCTAATGTGCATGTTTTAGATATGTAATTCAAGCTCTCATTACTGGAAAAGCTCATTCATGAGACATGAAATATGTTCAGAGTAGTCATTATGTGTCCTTTGAATGGTGTGGGGCATTAAAAAGAAATATAATTAGACTTAATGTAGTCAGGAAGCAAATCTAATCTGAATGTCACTAGTGCTTTATTGCTGTAACTTTGGTACTGCTTATGAAGTAGTTGCCATATTGCAAAAGACCATAATAATTTAATGCTATAGCAATGGCCATCAAAAATGCAGCCCAAACATTATGAGCCAGATTTTGATGATATAATTACACAGCCTTGCTTTGGGCATGCTGGGAGATAGAGGGACATGGAGCATTTCTTATTTTGTGTGTCAGTCAAAGTGGCTAATTGAAATTCCAGTAACAGGGTGCTAAATGCTGCTTGTTTATTACTCTAAACAAGTGGAGAGTTAGACCACCTGTGGTTTCATCCCTCCTCTATAACTGCCAGCTGTTGGATATAGCATTACTGTAGGTAGGATTAATTTAGTCTACCCCCATTATGGTTTGTGGCATGTTTTGTAGATCCCATGGACTTTGTAGTGTATTCTGTAAAACTGGTCAATTACATTTTGTTTATGGCATATCATGAGTAAGCTTCAGAAAACCCTCTCAGCTGGATGATTGTTGGCATGTTGCTTGCTCATGGATGGTTTCTTAGAAGTTTTAAGTTTTCTTTCAGACATCTTTATCCTCCAGACTCTCACATTTGTTTCCCTTCACCCTTTGTGTGGGCTGCTGCCCTTCTCGTGCATATCTGTATGGTGCTTAACACAGAGCACTGTAGTGTACTGTTGTGTCCCTGGGCAATAAGTCACTCTAACCTAAAACAATACTATTTAAAAATAAACATGTACGTCTGAGAATAAGCCTGCATAAGTTTTGTTAGAGGAGTGTTTTTTTAATGTAGGCATTCAGATTCTGTTACTGAAGAGAGCTGTAATTGCTACATACATTTTATGTTAGTGGCCCATACAACAGCTTTTGTACTGCAATAATTTAGATCGAATTCTTATTGAAAAATGTGCCAAGATTTGAATTATCAGTAATTGTTCTGTGCAATTTAGACCAAGGTTTGCTTTTTTTGTGTGGATATTTTTAGTTTGTGTTCTAATAACAATTAAAACATATTTTTTCTTTCAATAATAGAATTGTTTTCCAGCTCAGAATATGTACACTACATTATATGTAAATATGCATAAAACACGTACACAGTTCTCTATCTATGTCAGTATGTATTTCAAGGGGATCAAATGGCTCAGACGTTCATCCAAGCACAAGAAAGACTTTTACTATCTCACAAGTGATGCACAATGTGTTTAGTTGAACTGTACATTATGGTGCAATGTATAATTATATTAACATATAATCTCTCAGAAGTTGGATAATGTAATATTGTTTATGTATTGGCAAATATAGAACTTTCTGTTCTAAATGAAGAGTATGTACAAACTTGTAAGCAGCAGTGGAAGTAAATTGTGATCCTCAATCTTCAGTTACAGTGTTAGTGACAATGGAATGACTATTTGGCACGGATCTTCATCTCTTTCTCAGAGCACTGCTTTTTTATCTATTTATGTTCTTTAGCACAGTCTCACTGCACATCAGCTCTGTGAGTCCTGCAGAAATTTCATATAAGAACTTCACTTATCTGCACTTCATCCCTATGATTTGTCTGCCTTGCTTATTTGTATGTATACTTAGGGTGTCTAGGGCACTATATGAAAGATTTTCATAAAAATGTGAGGTTTTCACCATTCACTGCCATTGTCCCATTATTCAGTCTTACTCTCTGCAATTGCTAGAAAATTGGCAATTGCTACAGTAGCCATCTTAGAGAACTCCTCTGGAATGACCCCGAGTAAGGGAGGGGTAGCTGTGCCCGTGTCAGTTCTGACATTCTGCACTGTATGGGTGAGTGAAGGAGAACTCCTCTGGAATGACCCTGAGTAAGGGAGGGGTAGTTCTGACATTCTGCACTGTATGGGTGAGTGAATATCAGATGTTTTCTCTGCATTCCACTCCTGTGCTGTGTTAGAGGTTCAGCTCACTTGGCAGCAATGGCTCGTTTCTGACACCAGACACTGTAGAGAGGTAAGTGTCAGCACAATGTAGAGAGTTAAGAGTGATGGCTGCTGCCTGAGAAAAACAGGAAGATGAAGTTATTATTTGCATATTTGATGACAATATTTTGAATGAAAAGTCGTGAACTCTTTATACAACAATTGTATATGCAGTAGAATGTTCAGCTATTTAGATTTCTGTTTAAAAATTTAATTGTGTCCTTATTTTATATTGGATTAATAGTTTGAATGTATGCAGTGTGGATGGATGGAATGTAGGAGAATAGAGACAGTGATGAAGGTAATCTCACCCCTAAGGAGTTACAGCTGAATTAGGAACAGGCCTGCCCTTAATAGTCCACAGCCAGATCCCATTAGGATGGGTATTGTAAAAGAGTAGGTTGGCTGGTGAAGAAGTTAGAGTTTGTTGGCTGTACTGTGAGGAAGAAGGAGTCAGTACTGTGAGGAGTTGCCTATAAGAAATCACAGAAAAGGTACGAAACTTTTGAGATAACAACAATCCAGATCTGGACATCTGTCTTCAAACCATGTGTTTTCTCTGTTTTGCCCGAGGATGGATTCATTGACCATGACTATGCTTAAGTGTATAATCCCATTTTCCATGAAAGTGCAGTTATGTTACATAAAAATGGGATTTTATGGTCTTGCAGTAAGTTATTTAACCTAAATTTAAAGATGGCTCTCTATGGTCTGAGTGATTTCATTTTTCAGTGTATGTGGCTATTTCTGCTGATGATTTGAGAGAGCTTCCTCAACTAGATGCAGAGGAAAAATAGGTGGAAAAGTATGCTTTGAGGTCACATCTTGTCTGCAGAAATGGAACCATTCTAGTGGCTTTGTGAAGAGATAGATGTCCTGGGAAAATGCATCTACACATCACAGAAATGAAATTATTGGGGTCTGCGTAAGAGAAAAGTCACGTAATTTCTGTACAGAAAACTCCTTCACGCTTAAAACTGGCAGGTAGAGTGGGCCACATTATCTGAAAAGTATGTACATAACTCTTCCATTACCACTGATTATGCACAATTTTAAGTATGTCCCACTATGGCATTTTTCTGCTTACTTAAACATGCATTAATACCCCTGCAGCAAACTGTGTCTTCTTCCCTACAAACTGGAGTTTTGCTTGTTGTCTGTGCAAATTGTTGATATAGGTATTAATGTAAAAGAAATGAGAGATGAGTGGTAGATATGATGATGCTTATTTAACATTAAAAGAAGCCTGTGGCAAAATGTTAATGTATCTTTTTTTCTACAAAGCTGGGAGAACAATATTGCTTAAAAATCTCTCCAAGAAGTGCAGGATGGTAAAGAAATTTACTGTTTTTCAGAGTGCACAGGATGGATTATACAGCATTTTATTGTAGGGGATTTCATATGGTCTAAAATTGTTATTTTCTACAACAATTTTTCATGGTATAGCCCAATGAAGCAATGAAATGTAAAGGTCTTTTATCGGAAGTAACACTTAGCTACTGCTTTGTTCTACTTTAAATGTCTGGGTTCTTCTGTGCAGTTTTTGATCTGTTTAGGGAAATTTATTGCATTCAATTCAATGGGAGCAGGATACTCCTTTGGAAAGAGAATTGTAGCGGAAAGAGAATGACTTAACATTGAGTGCAATAAATGCAAAATATCACCATGACACATGATAATGTATAAATCAGAGTCTTATAGATAGGTTTCATTATAAGACACTGCTATAGTAATAATCTGCTTTACTCAATCTAAGTCTAGTTGAGTCTAATCTATAGTGAGTGTTCATCAGCATAAAAAAATATATGAATCCTGTGGTACATCTCAAATATAAAATTCTATGAGTATGAACATTAGAGAAATGTTGTCTTAGTCATAATGAAAACTCATCAGTATAGAAAGTGATCTTTTTTTCCCTCAGTTATCTAGCAGGGTAGACCTAATTTGTTAATATTAAAATGCTATTGTTACCTGTGGAGATCTGTGCTGGTACTGAACAAAGGTCTTTTTTGGAGACATCCGTTGTACTTTCTCAAATTGTTTTCTCACTGCTGCCAGGCCACCAGGCACAGTACAGAACTTGGTCTTCTGTGAACTCTAGAGTGATAAAATAAGACCACTTGTTTTCTATTTGCACCTAAAGCATACTTCTATTGCCTAATTTTAATTTTTTTTTTAAACTAGTTAACAGCAGTATGTAGGAATGACTCAGAGAATCATAAATACTCATTTTGGGAAATTCATAGACCACTGCACAAGAGGCATACTTGATGATTTAGACGAGTTAAAGGTATGTTTAGCCTGAATCTTAAGCACCAAAAGAAGTTCCATCTGCTTGTTTGGGAGTAAGAACCACTTTCCAGAACAATCTCTTCTGCTTGTGTCTTCTGAATTCCATGGCATTCAGAGTTGCCACCTGGTCCTCTCTGTGTTTCCAGTGGGTATTGTTGAAAAACATGCAGAGAGCCTCAAGCAGGCCTTTATGAGATGACCTGTCTTCCCCAAAAACAGCAATGAAGGTCACAAGAGGGCACTTACCCTCAGGCTTCCTGTTCTAGTTCTGTCCCTTTTGTTGTACTTTTTAGATGGTATTGAATGAAGCTTTCAGCATTTTATATTAATAATCTCTATGCAAAAAAAAAACCAAAACCTCACCCAAAAATTAGGAAATACATTTGTAATGAAGCTACTAAGTAAAGTTAGATTTAATGCTATTAAATGTGTAAGTAAGCAGATAATAAAAAATCAGGGAGATTTTTTCCTCTGTGATGAAGGCTGCACGTTTATATGTGTACATGGATATGCAAGCGTGAAAAGTAATTGTTTTAATGAATGAACATTCCAGGCCCACCTTAACAGCTATTTGGAGATATTTTGAATAGTTATGGGTCCTCTAATGAAATGTATTCATTCCCTTTAATGAAACCAAATATAAAGTTCCTATTTTCAGGCAGCCATCCATTTCCGCAAGAAATTGCAAGACGTTTCTGAGTGTAAATGAAATAGTTCCTATGTGCTCAACATAGTTAGGTTGGGTCCGTCTTCATGCAGCTCTTTTCATTGTGAGAGACAGTACTAACTTCAGTCAAGTTTCTAATTGCTGGAACAGGGAATTGGGACCTTCTCAGACAGGTGAAATGCAAGAATCTGCTCCAAATACACACCAAGCAGTTGGGAAATAAAGTCAACAGGCTTTTGTTTGATGGCTGAAAAACACCTGGACTCTAGTGGCTGTTTTCAGTATGTGGTTTCTGAATTATCCAGCCACCCAGATGGTCTCTTCAGGCAATGCCAACCCCTTTTTTCAAGACTAAAGTGCAAGTAAGGCTAAAGTGCAGGGAAACCCCTTACAACTGTGCTTGCATATGGATGCACATGATGTCTGGTGAGAGCTGAATTGTAGTCCTTCTTTTGCCAGGTATGGTCTCTGATTTAACAAAATTACTCTGGCCTAGTTTACAATGAGAAGATGTTCTTTCCATACGCTGGAAGTTTGGTGTAAACAAAGACATTTGTCATTCTCACATTAGAGCAAGCCCTCATAATGCCTTCCTTTCCTTGTACAAGGGATCTGAGCTGCAACTTCTAGCTGGGATTTTTAGGATATGATAACACTCTTTAACCTTTAGTGTTTCTGCAGAACAGAGGAAGATTTTCATGGCTGAAATCTGAAGACACAGTTTTTAGATATTCTTGACTGATAATTCAATGTGTGGTGAGGAGGTCTATTTTACTAGTTTACAAATTCTTTAACCAAATACATTATGTACTACTTGGTATCAATATTTTAAAATTTGCAGTAAAATACTTAATCCTATTGATAGACATTTAGAGAGAGATGTAAAACAAAATGAAGAAGTATTTTTTGTAGCTACTCTTTTATAGAATGCCGATTTTAAATAATTTTATTACAAAACAATACTTATTTATACACCTTGTCTCATAGAGCTACTATTTTAAAATGCAGCAATTTCAAATTCTTTCGTTTGAACAGCACGAGGTCTAAACTTACTGTGCTTTTGAAAATGATTTTATTATTTAGTAATAATTTTAGTAATGCAGAAGCTGCTGACTCTCACAAGACTATAGCCCTAATAAATGCAGCTCATGCAACAGTGAAAGAAAAACCCAGTCCTTCTAATGAGTTAAAGGGAATTATCCAGATGACCAAAGCTCTACAGCATGAAACATCTCTCGACAGAGACTGATGCATCAATAAGTTTGCTGAGTAGGTTTGTTAACTTAGGTGTCAAATTTTGGTCCCCGTAATGGCCCATCAGTCAGCTTGGGTAAATAAAGAATGCAGGCTATGTCACTGTGCAAAGCAGATGGAGAGGTAGGAAGGTAAGAAACCATTGATATCTTACATGGGCAAAGGACACAGCAGCCTTGTACATAGCCATCCTTTCTTTAAAGGAGACAGTCTCCTGGAAATCCAGCAGTGTGTTGTCAGCCCTGGGAGTGCTCTCTTTAGACAGTCCTCTTACAAGTTTGCGAGACTCCACTGTAAGTGCAAACAGACATGGTATTTTCTAAGAGGAAAATAGATACATTTTTCTAAACCTTGAAATAATAGCAGTAGCAGGAAGAACAAGCATCATCAATTTTTTTAACAATTTCATCTTCTTTTCAATTTAGAGCTTAGAGAGTACAGAAAAATTTAGTTAATGAAACTTTTCAGAGTGGGGGAAATTTCTTGGGTAAAAGCAATGAAAAAAATTTCAACAACAAGCGTAGTATTTTTCTGACACTGTTATATTTGCACTACTTTATACTGTAAAAAGTAATTTTAAGTACTACAAGTAGTCTATTATAATTAGATATATTATGTTCCAATTAGCCTTAGACTTTATAGAATTAATTTGCTTACCAGGGTCTGTTCTGAGTCTATTGCAGATTTCAGTTGTTTACTGATCTTACATTAGGGTATGTTGTCGTTGGTTTAGAATTACTAAAACCTTGTAGAACATTATCTCCATTGCTAACTACATTTTAAACTTGTTTCAAGATGTGAAGAGGTTATAGAGTTATTTGCAATTCAGCTGCAGTGCATGTGAAGACAAAAGCTCAGAGGATGCTTGAAAAAGCCCCTCTGAGTTCCTAGCACTAGGGGGGTTCTGCTGCTGCTTTCTGCACTCATTTGACTGTGTCAAAACAATTCCATATAATCCAAAAAGTGCCTTAAATTTAGTGCAAAGATATTTTTTTTTCTTTTAGACAAAGGGGAAAATCATATTGTGATCATCTCTCTTGTCTGTGATAGGAGAAATGCAACCAAAAAAAAGTGGCTTTTGAACAACTGTCTGTTCTGGCATAGAACATAGTGCCAGGGAAGGGGTAGCCCACCAAACATAAGGTTTCCAAGGCTCACCTGGCCTTTCTGCCTGTTCCCTCTAAAGACAGCATAAGTATTCAAGGTTCACATATTGCAAGTAAATATCACATGTAATTCAAATCTTCAATAAAAATCAGATGCAGACATGCATAGAAGTGTGATATCAGTGTAAATATACTCAGTTTCTTAGTATTTTTACCTGACCCTACTCATAACTTACATAGGGAAAATTTTCTATTATGCTTATCCCATGCAGTAATTTTGTGTATTTCATGTTATCATGAAATATCATGTTATCAAAAGAATTGTGTAGTTCAAGAAATAATAATAGCAGCAGTGAAAGAGTCAGTGAAATTCAGCTGAAAGTAAAAGATTTTCAGGGAAAGAAGAAATGAGAAGAGAGAGAACTGCTATTTAATGCTGTGCATTAAACCAAAGCTAATCAAAACCATGGAAAAATTGAAAGTACACTTTGGCAACACAGAGGGATAGTCCACCACAGCCAAAAATTGTCAGTTTATTTTCAAAGGCAGGTTGAATTATGTAACACACCAGAATGAAACTTATAAGACATTTGCTTTAATTATTAAGAATGTTAAGGAGTTAAAAATCTTTCTTGGTATTTTGGTTCAACAAGGGATTTTTGGGTTGTGCATAGTCACAAGCATGTGAATGGTTTCATTAAGTGCAATGGGAATACTCATGTGCATGAAGTTAGATGTGGTTTAATTCCTTGCTGATATGAGGCCAATGAATTTAATGGACTGTTTTAAAAAACATTTTAATAGATACATATTATTAACCACCTGGGGGGTGAAGGTAATAGAAACTATTCTCTTGTTAGCTTTAAAAGTTTTTAACAGAAAACTTTTTCTCTTAAGAAGCTAGTTAGTTTATAACATAATGTGAAACACTGTAGTGGTATGAGAGATGAAATTATCTAAACCTTTGCTCATTCGTTTTGCTCTAAGCTCTACTAATTCAAGTGAACTTGAAGGTGTAATATAGTCTGATTCTTTTGAGATAAATCTATGTTTTAAAATGAACTAGTGGGTAAGAAAAGCCTTATCAAGTTGAGCTATGCCAACAAAATCTGTTTTCCTGTGTCATAAGGGGCTTGTACGATAGTATCTATTTGAGAGAATTTAATTCTTTTATTAGTTGTGAGTTACATTAATTCTATAAGGTAAATGAAGCTTGACAAATCATTTGTGTGTGAGAGAGCTTGAGAAGGCTGGCTTTTTTGCCTTTTTTTTCTCCAACCATAAGCCTGCACAGCTATCCAGTATGGGCTTCTCGAGGTTTTCATGGCAGGTTGAACAGCAATATGAGCATTGCCTTCATTGTTTTTCAATGGAGACAACAGAAGTTGTTGGTACTTAGTCACAGAGCTTGCAGTAAATTTTGCTCAATACCTCTTCTAGGAAAATAAGATTTTGGTCCAACTGGAACATTTAGGAAAAACTTCCATTGTACTTTAGTGGTTTGAGGGTATTGTTCTTGCTGAAAAATTGAAGCAAGTTGGCATATATTGTTATTGGTTATAAAAAACTCAAATCTGATGGTGATGGGAGAATTAATCTGTGGATCAGCATTATGCTATTTTTTTCAGGACCTGAGTATTTGTTCTAGTGCAGACTTTCAGATCTCAGTGCCTGACTTCAGCTATTAGAAGTTTAAGAGTTTTCACAGTGGTTTCAAACTAAAATGAGTCTATAGGGAATTTACTTCTCATAAGGCTGTCTGAATGCAAAATGGGATATTATGGCTTTCACAGGAACACAGAAAAACATTATCCCCTGGGGGGCTGTCACATTTTTGGAAAAAGCTTAATGTATAAGAAGTATGAATTGTTGACTGTGCATTTTTGCATAAATCATATTCTTTGTTATTCCTGGTGGATCAAAAAATGCTTCTGAAACATGCTGTGCCATATTTAGACTCAAAGGCAAAGAGGATGTGGAATGGAGGATACTGTTTTCTTGCGGAGAAGAAAAAAAAAAGGTCTTTGTGCTAGAAATCTCTAAAAGGAGAAGAGCAAAACACCCCTAAAGAGTCCTTAAATCCAAAGATACCTGAGAAACTTCAGAAGATACAGAGAAGTGGCACAAAAAATACTACCACAGAGAGAACTGTAGCTCTGTCTAGTTAATGTTAGGTAGTTGTGAAGTGATATGGTCATAATAGATAATTATCCTTCCAAGAAGAAATGAGAAGGTATGAAAGGTGTCTTTAGTTTGGTAGGGAAAGAAAGGAAAACAGATAGCCAATGGCTGAAAGTTAAACTTGATAAAAGAGCAGATCTCTAGTTTGAACAATGAGCTTAATAAACTTATCAGCATTAACTGGAAAAGGTCTTATAAATTCAAATTTCCCTTTTCCTTTAAAATTCTAGAGTCTGACATAGATAAATATGTGGTCTAAACATTTTACGATTAAAAAAAAAGAGTGGAATCAATAATTGTTTGATATGATGTAGAAAACTTATTTTATTGGGAGACTGGACAAGGCTTTTAATGCTTTTTATTTGGGTAATCTGTTATTTTATATAAGGTCAAGTCCTAGATGCCCAGAAGTCAATAAGTGGTTTTTAATCAGAAAATTTGATCATGCATATTCTTTCTCTGTGAAAGTAAAGCAAAGCAGAGATATAGCCACTTTCTGATATCTTCAAGCATTGGTCTCCAAAGTGGAATATCTACACCCCAGGGGCTGTGCAACACACTTCTTTGGGGTGCAGGAATCTCATATTTTTTTGTGAATAAAAACTTTTTAAATATTTGTTTTCATCCATCCTACTTTAACTTTTATTTTGATGTATGTTGCCTAAGGTTGTACTATTAGAGTAGTACACATATATGATTTGTAAATAAATATGCAAACACTGGGAGGGCAGACTCATAAATATTTGAATGGTAGAGGTGACCATCAAAAAGGTTTGGAGACCACTGCCTTAAAGGTATCAGGTCAATGTGGTAATGCTGACCTTCAGAGCTGTTGCTGTGGCCATTTTCTGATGACATCTTTTCAAAGATTGCTCTCCCTCTTTTCACGCTAGACTCCTCCTGAGAAGTGGCAGAATGGTTCCCAGGCTGACTCTTCAATGGTGATGAAAGTGAATTTCTCTCATTTTCTGTTTCCTGTTAGAAGATATCAAGAAAAGAATAAGTGTTACAAGTTGTTAATAGGAAAGAAATGTGGCTTTTGGGGCAAATGGAGTGTAGAGACAGCCAATGGATTAAACACCAGTTGCTCTTTTAAACACTTTTCGTGCATAGAAAAGGTGACAGCGGGAATTTTATAAACTTCATTTATCATTGCATAAGAATATGTAAAAACAGCAAATGATGTCTTGGAAATCAGATGTAGATGAGCATTTGTACTTCAGAAATTTGATTTTCAATTCTGCTGTGACTTATCAACTGAATTTAGGTTATCACAGTAGTGGGCCAATGTTCCATACAGATGGTTTATACAATATCATTAGCATCTCATAGTCATTCTGTGGCTCAGCCCTTTGAAGCAAAATGAGTAAATTATTGCCAACTAAGGCTTCAATGTGTTGCAGTTTGTGTTTGGGGTGCTTCTCATTCCTTCCATGCAATGTGCTACTCTGTATAGAGTTGGACACAATGACTGTAAAACCTCATCTACAGCTCTTATGTTAAGTAAATAACTGAAACTGCTGCAGTAGCAAAAATAGTAGTTTGGTGGTAGTGGGTTTTTTTGGCTTTTTTTTTTTTCTCTCCAAGGAAGTAACTTGAAAGGTTCACTGCATGTCCATTTCTGTCATCCTGAAAAAGAAGTACGGTATCAAAATAAAAAGTGACTAGATGGTTGGTCTGGTGACAGCATAAATCTCTCCAGAATGATTTTGCAGCACTTATCTGCTAGAGCCCTTAATTACTTAAATTATATAGGTGTGGTGTGGTGGTGGTTTTTTTTGGCTTTTTTTTTTTTCTCTCCAAGGAAGTAACTTGAAAGGTTCACTGCATGTCCATTTCTGTCATCCTGAAAAAGAAGTACGGTATCAAAATAAAAGGTGACTAGATGGTTGGTCTGGTGACAGCATAAATCTCTCCAGAATGATTTTGCAGCACTTATCTGCTAGAGCCCTTAATTACTTAAATTATATATGTTTTCAAAATGTACAGGCTTCATTAGACTACTTCCTTTCTATTGTTTGCAGGCAACTTTATTATTGTATACAAATTTCATGCCATTCTTGTATGTGATCTCACTGAAGTAACTTCTAACTAATTTTAGACTTAGATATTATGCATGACTTGTGTAAGAAGCAAAATAATTTGGCTGCTGAGTTGATTATCCTAGGCTGGAGAGTATTTTCCTGTAACTACTGGGAAAAAAAAAAGGCATAACAAATTAGTGAATTCTCAAATAGAAATCTTAGGAAATAATTAAAAATAAATTATAAAAGCCATTTTTACAGTGAAATGTAAGCAATTTATATGTGTTCACCTTGGATTTTATGAAACTAAAAGTGAACAAGCATTGGAAATGTACTTTTAAAATGTGTGCATCACTGGCAATCAAAGACAATTGTGCTTCATCCGTCTTTAATAAATTTATGCTTTTCTCAGACCTGCTGCTAGTTTTTACCTTAAATATGGGTTGTATTTCACATCCTGACCAGTAGTTATTCATTGCAAGAGTGTTCCTTCAGCACATGTAGAATAGGTTATGTCTTGTGGAAATTAGCATTTTTTGACAGTCTGTCTACTTCTGTGACTTAGACTTGACAGCAACAGGAAGTTTTTGCATGATGTGTCAACATTAAATACAATTATTAGACCATAGAGGCTAAAGGTGTTTTATTACCAGGAGTATTGTAAACCCCTCTTTTTTTTTTGGAAAAAATACCTAAGGTACCACCAATCACCCATTATATTTGTTGCATCAGTCTGTCCCCTCTTCCCCCTCTGTTCCTCCTAACAACCACAGCTGCTCCTGAATGGAACTTGAAAAGTGCTCTTGGATGTGGTGGGTAGTTTTAGCAGACAGGCCAGGAAGTACAAACAATACACTGGAAAACCTAATTTAATTTACCTAAACATGGCCCAGGGGATCTTAGCCAGCACTGTAGAGTTTGTTGCCTTTTATTTATCAGTTTTACAGATTTAATAATATAAACAAAATATAATTGGTTTAAAACTAATTCTAGTTATTCTCTTATTGCTTTTACAGTTAGAAGTATATTTCCCTTGACTATTATGGAAAGTATTTTTGGAAGCTAATAGCAAGATAAAGATTTCTGGAGCGAAGGAAGTAGCTGTTGTTCTACTCCATGACACTTCCATGCAGTTTCCTCACTAGTCTGTCCATTCTCTCAGGTTGCACACCCAGTCAGCAGTGACACAGTGGCACAAGCTCTGTGACCAGGCTGGGCTTGGCCACAATGAGGGTGTGCTGAGAGGAGTGACGTGCATGTGTGCCTGGGGTAGCAGGAGATAGCACGTGGCTGAAAGGAATAGGATATTTTCTGTGGGAAGGGTATGGCTTAAAAATGCTATTAATTTTGTACCCTTTTTCAAAATTGGTTATAAGCTACAGTTACAGCCTAGTATTAATTATGGTATTTTGGTTTAAAACCACTCAAGGCCTCACCATTATTGTCTTATGGACAATCCATGACACAGAAATGGTTCTGCAGAGGAGAAATAAAGGATGGGGAGGGAGAGAAGAAATTAAAAGAAAATGCAGCTGTGCATGTTGTTAGATCACATTTGGCTCCTCCAGGTACTGAGGTAAATGACAGCAGCCTCAGCATCATCTTGCCCCAGCACTGTGTGTGCTTTCCCAAGTGAGCACCAGAGAATCACTTTTATGATGTTCTAGCTTCTACAGTATTAGAACAAAATAGAAAACTCAAAATATACTGTGTTTTCAATTACCATTGGCATCGTTGAGAACCAACTCATCTAGATTGGGGTTTTGTGTTTTGTTTTAGTTTTGTTTGTTTCATAATTTCTATTCCTTTTTTTTCTGTAGATGTCAGTAATAGCTAAAAACTTCAGAATTTATTGTTTCTTACTATTATTCCTGCAAACCAGGGGCCAATATAAATTTGATTTGCATTTCTCTTAACTCTGAATTCTATTAACTTGTAGCATGTTTCTATGATGTTTTTTCAAATTTACATCTCTGTGGTAGAAATTCCATTACCGATAAAATTTAACTTCGTATTTTACACATGAATTTTAATAGGAATTTAGAAAAAAAAAAGCATATTTTTGGACCATTTTTAATATGAATTATAGGAATATTGGCCCTACTGAAGAGGTTTTAGTGTAAATTCTCTTATGGAGACACTAAGATGTGGGCTGCTGTGGCAGAATGTGCTTTCAGTCTCAAGCTGCTCTAACCCCATTTTGCAAAGAGCATCCCTGTCTTAGTGGGAGCTTTGGGACAATGATTTTCTTGCATGATGGCACCAGCTGCAATGGTACAGCTCAGATTTATTTTCAAAATTTCGCAGTATTTCCTACTGTGAAAAAGTTTTTGAAGAGTCTTGTGATTACCATAAACTCAATTTAATCAGGATAAATTTAATTTACATTCTTTTCTATTGGGGTATCTATACAGATAACCTAATGACAGTGGATGTCAAAGACGTCTTCTTAATAAGGCTAGAATTAACATTTGAAAAGGCACTGAGGTAGTGCCAAGAGGTACTTAATTAGAGGCTAATACATGCAACTCTTGCAAAACTTGCCAAATGAAAAGTAAAAGATTTTTTTTTTCTTTCTGATTAATGCAGCATACAGGTCAGATCAAGCTTTTGTAACTACACGTGTGGTATTGCTGGGATCAGCTATTTAACTGGGATATAAGCTGCTCTGTTGAGCAGCCTGTTAAAAGCATTATACAATTTCATTTTTGTTGGATATAATTTGTTGAAGTCTGTCCATACTCGAGTACCTTCCTGTCATGTAATTATTTCAGTTTTATGTACTACATCTGGTATTATATTCTATTTTTGCATGTACTTCTCAGAAAAAGGTGACACAAGAAGCTGTTTTTATGTTCTGATCTCATACTCTAGACATGATAGAATAAAGCACTGGAGTTCCAAATTTCAAGGAATATGCAATCATTACAGTTAGAAATGCCAACAGTAAAGATTCCAATTTCACTGGCCTACTGAGTGGCTATGCTTCATTTAGACAGTGAATTTTCCACTTGCTATCCAGTCCTGCACTAATCTAAAAGTCAGTAAGCCAGAACACATGAAGTTTTAAATAGAGGAAAACTATTTACCAAATTACTACTACCTTTTCTGCATACATAGAACTACCTTGGATTGCAAAAAGTATTTGCATTCAACATATAAAGTAGATTTTCAGATCTACTGTTAATGTTCAAAGTATTGAATATTTTTAAAGGACATAGTTAAATGTATTCAAAATATGCACTCTTCCTCATCCTGCGTGTGCTAAATTTATTCCTTACATTTGCTACCTAAAGGAAAGCTGTCTACCACCTAACTTCCTTTTTTATGTGGTGTCTACTAAAAGGATGCATGTGTGAGAATGGACAAAGAGGAGTAGAAGGAATAGGCCCAAAGAGAAAAGATGGAAGCGTAAGTTGAAAGGAAAATAATAAATCTGTAATTGTATGAGAAGGTAGGAAATTAGTGGAGCAGTAGGATTGTTTACAAATCAAATCTGTTGCTTTAAAGTTATATAAAATCTTGATCTGTTAATGCATTTTACCTGGGTTTTAATTTTAAGGTAGGATTCTATTCAAATAATTGTTTTAATGGCAATTCAGGTTGCACTTTGTGAAACTGACTCCTAACATTTACTAACATTTACACGGCCTACAAAAAGTTGGCATCTCAAATTCTAATTCAAAACAAGAGACTGCTTTGCTGGATAGTACACAGAAATTATTTGAGGCTAATTCTTGTACTGATAGTTGATAATATCTGTAAGTCCTTCAATCATAGTGGAATTTAAAAAAAACCCCAAAAACCAGTACAATCTTGTCCTGTCTGGAAAAAACCTTTGGAAATACCAGCATGAGAAAAGCCTCTTTCTGATATATTTCTCATCTGTAATTAACATTGTGGTGAGAATCCATTCTGGTGCAATGGGAGTGCATGGAATCATGTTTACCA